CAGTGATTGGCTGACTGCGGTCCAGGCCGCCCACCCGGGAGTCGCAGCCCACTGTAAAAGCAGCCGCGCTCTCCCGGCTCGCAGTAGCCCGCCCGGAGGTCTCTGGTTCTGTGTCTTGCTTCAACAGTGTTTGGACGGAACAGACCCAGGGACTTTTTTTTTTTTTCTTTCTTTATTTCTTTCTTTCTTTTAATTTCCAACCGCCTTCCAGTCCCTCCAGTCGCCGCGTCCGGGACCAGCTCTCCAGCCAACACCGTCTCCTTGCGGTTAGCTCCACACTGCCCATCAGGATGACCTCCCAGATCCGTCAGAATTATTCCACCGAGGTGGAGGCTGCGGTCAACCGCCTGGTCAACCTGCACCTGCGGGCCTCCTACACCTACCTCTCCCTGGTGAGCTACCCCAGGCTACCCCTCCTGTAACTGCGGGCCTCCATCCCGCAGCGCATGCGCGGCCTTCTTTGTTCCTCCGGGTTGTGGAGAGGGCGGAGTCCTCCCGCCTGGGCCTTGCCCTCCTCCGACTCCGTTCTGTTTGAGGCTGGGTCTCCCTGTAGCCCAGGCTGACCTCCAACTCGCTGTGGAGACCAGACTGGCCTCGAACTCGCGGAGATCCGCCTTGCCTCTGCCTCGCGAGTGCTGGGATTGAAGGTGTGGGCCCTTGTGTGTATTTCTTCCCCGCAGGGCTACTATTTCGACCGGGATGACGTGGCTCTGGAGGGCGTGGGCCACTTCTTCCGCGAGTTGGCCGAGGAGAAGCGCGAGGGCGCGGAGCGGCTGCTCAAGTTGCAGAACCAGCGCGGCGGCCGCGCGCTCTTCCAGGATGTGCAGGTGAATGCGGTCTGCAGGCGACACCTCCCAGGAGGCCGTGCTTGCGGAGCCCTGGAGAAGTTGGGGGCTGCTGCGTTGAGTGCCAGTCTTGAGGGGTTTAACGGCAGAACATGGAGGCAGCTGGGAATCACTCCAGGCCACTCCCTGATCTCCTGCAAATTTAGACTTGACTGGATGAGGGGTACTGCGTAGGGCTAGTTGTGAGCCATTTTTTCTCGTGTGTGTAGAAACCAGCTCAGGATGAGTGGGGTAAAACCCAGGAGGCCATGGAAGCTGCCTTGGCCCTGGAGAAGAACCTGAACCAGGCCCTCCTGGATCTTCATGCCCTCGGTTCTGCCCGCACAGACCCCCATGTAAGTACCTTGGTCATCCTTGGTCCCTGTTTTTTATTTTTAATGATTAAGTTTATTCGAGACTGGAGAGCTGGCTCAGTGGTTAAGAGCATTGGCTACTCTTGCAGAAAACCCGGGTTCCAATCCCAGTACCTACATGGCAACTAACAACCGTTTGTAACTCCAGTTCCAGAGAAAACCCTCTTCTGATGACCTCCGTGGGTATTGCACGACGTGGGTGCACTTGCGTGCATGCAAGCATTAACATTGATACGCATAAAAAATAATTTCTGTAAAAAAGATTTATTCTTATTTTATGGGTCTGAGTGTTTGCCTTTGATCCTGAGTGCAGGGATTAAATGTGCACCACCACCCAGGGCTTTTTTTTTTTTTTTTTTTTTTTTTTTTTTTTTTTTAGATGATTTGTTTTTTTGAGGCGGGGTCTCTCCCTGTGTTTCCAGTGATGCCCTTAACTATGTAGCTCAGGCTACCTTTGAACTTCAGTAATCAACCTCCCGCCTCACCCTCCTGAGTTGAGTGGGGTGAGTGGGAACAGTTGTGTGGCACCATATACCCCACCCAGCTCTACCTACTCTTGAGGGCAGATTTCCTCTGAGCCCATCTTTAGAGGCAGTTCTGCTTCTCCAAGGACTGAGTCTCTGATGTGTCTGGTCTCTCAGCTCTGTGACTTCCTGGAGAACCACTTCCTGGATGAGGAGGTGAAGCTCATCAAGAAGATGGGAGACCACCTGACCAACCTCCGCAGGCTGGCTGGACCCCAGCCTTCTCAGGCTGGCGTTCCTCAGCCATCACTGGGCGAGTATCTGTTTGAGCGGCTCACCCTCAAGCACGACTAGGTCTCCATGCATTCCAGGGGGCTCCCTCCTCTGCCCTGCACTGCTGGCTCCCAGCCCTCCGCCTGATCCTCTCCAGCCACTAGGCAGCTTTGAAACGCCCTGGAGCCCCTCCTAAGCCTTGGACCAACTGAAAATAAAGCATTTTTGAAACAGCAGCTGATGATTTTGTGTGTGTGTGCGCATGTGAGAGAGGGAGGGAGGCATGGTGGGGTGGGGGACAAGTCAGCTCCATCCTGGTTTTTTTGGTGAGTCTGATGCAGCCTAAGTCAGCTGGGGTGGCTTTGCTTTATTGGGGAGTAGGGACTACACTGAGCTATATTCCCTGTCCCTGAAGGTACACAGGGCTAAATACAAATGGAAGGTAAAGGCTGCAATCCCTTTTTGTGGGCAAGTTGAAGCTATTGAGATGCAAGTTGTTTGGCTTCCGGGAAATGCCAGTACAGGTATGCTGGGATTAACTGTCAGGAGGATCTAGCAGCCAGAATCACAGGTGCCCACCCAATGGGTGCTGAGCTAGAGTTTGGGGTCCATTAGAGGATATGAAACTTGGGGTCATGGTTCAAATGGGAACTGAAGCCTGGTCAAGGGTCAGAGGCATGGGGTAGGGACACTGCTGTCAGCTTTGATGCCTTCCCCTCAGTGGTGGGAAAGGAATCCACTGCTCTGTGGGGCCAGTCAGATACTTCAACCCAACCCTGCCCTCTTTCCTCATTGCACTTCTGGGATCACAGGGAGGGAATGAGCTGTATGCTGGTCACACTGACAGGAAGGTGACCCAATCCACAGGAATTACAGCTTTCTAGTTAGTTCCCTGAGTGCCAAGATAGGAGACTTCAGCCGTGCACGCAGAGGGCACTGAGGCCCCACTGAGTATGGGGACCAGAGGTACAAACTGCTACAGCCAATTTGTCCAACTGTGAGTACAAGCCACACGTGGCCAGTATTACTGGGAGACGGGATTTAAGTTTTGGGTGGTCCTGGGGATGGAACCCAAGTCCTGGCATGTGCCAGGCTGGCAGTCTGCTGAGGCACACCTGCCTGCATTTCACTTTTTGAGACAGTCTAAGTTGCCCAGGGTGGCCCTGTGAACTCCACTCTGCAACCCAGGTAAATTTGAACATTTAGCCCTCCTGCCCAAGTCTTGATGCACCACCAGGCTGAATGCCCTGTCCATCTTGTATATCACAGAAACACTTTACACCCAAGATCACCAGAACCAATTCTTTGCCACTTGCAACGCAAATCCAAAGCATCAGACACACCTTCCTCGAACAATGGCCAAGTCTTTCCACAGCAGGTAGTGAGGTGGAAGACCCAAAGAGGAAAGAGCAGTAACTAAAACCACAAGGAAATGGCCTGGGGAGTGTCTGTAACTGCCAGCACTTGAGAGGCTGAGGAAAGACTGCTATGAGTTTAAGCCAACCTGGGTTACAAAGCAAGACCCCACATATAAAATCTAACAAACAAAAAAGCCAGTGAGGACCAGGGGAGTCAGGAGGGAGGCCTGCCAGTGAGGACCGGGGGAGTCAGGGGGGAGGCCTGCCAGTGAGGACCGGGGAGTTGGGGGGAGGCCTGCCAGTGAGGACCGAGGGAGTCGGGAGGGAGGCCTACCAAGGGCACAGATCTGGCCACACTCGGTGACTCTTAAATACAGGTGTATTTTTCATGTCTTGACACGGCAATCACACGCCTTCTGCCCTCCCCCTCTGGACTGCAAACCAAGCAGGGCATCAAGCCAAGCACTGCATATGTGAGGGGCCCTGCCCATTCACTGAAGCAGGGGGCAGGACGCAGCTTGCAGGCAGAAAAGCCTTGGGGTACATGTGAAGCTTCTAGAACCCAGGGGACTCAGTTCTAGATCAGGAAAGGGGATCAGGATGTAGCACAGTGATAAGACTCCTGACTCAGTGGTGGGGACCCGGAACCCAGTGGTTTCACAGAGGGCCGAGCAGTCGTGGACAGCCAGTTCAGTCATCAGGCATTCCCTGGACAGGACACGGGGGACTGAAGAAAGAGTAAGATCTGGTCCAGAAAAAGCCAGAGTAAGGCAAAGGTGTCTGGTCCAAGACTGCATGCTCCCTTGAAGAAAATAAATGAACCCACAGTACCCATGGAGGGCAATACCTGCAGTCTGTCCTGACACCACAGTCATGGGTTGAAATGGAGGACCATAAACATTGTTATCTTTGTATTTTGAGATAGGCTCTCATGTTGCTCAGCCTAGCCTTGAGCTGTCTATGTAACTGAGGATGACCCTGACCTCCTGAGCCTCATGCTGGGATTACAGGTGTGTGCCACCACGCCCAGTTTATGCCGCACTGGGCATAAAAGCCAGGGCTGGGCAAGCACCCCACCAACTGAGCAACCTCCCCAGTGCATATGGTTATAGTAATCCCTGAAGTGCCCTAAGTCTGGACTTGGATGTCCCACTGGCAGGGAAGTCATGTGGTTTCTAGCACATGATAGTCCCCAAGGGCAGGCCTGAGCTTAGCATACTCTGTACACTGCAGGTTCAGAGGAAGAAGCCACAGCCTGGAAAACCAGCCAGGTTTCCTAAAATCTCTGGCACTGCAGAAAAATGGATTCCTGGTCTCTGAGACCCAGTCTAAGCCTGGAGACTCCAGAGAACAGAATACACTCTGTAATCCAAGAAAGGCACAGCGTCATGGAGTGTGGGGGCTCCAAGAGTTGGAGTGGGAGGGCTAGAATGTCTGGAAGGGGGGGAGGCTGTAGACCACACAGGGCAGGTGGCCCACTCGGGGTCTGGAGTGGTGATCAGGTCCGGCCTGTCTGCACGGACCCCTCTGCAGGAGGGACACAGGAGAGCAGGAGGTGTAGTGGGGGGCTTAGTTTCGTTCCTCGCCCAGGGAACTGGCAGGGCTGAGGGGCTCACTGGGGGTGCTGATCGAGCTGGAGGGGCCAGTGTCCACCGAGTTGCTTCGCCTGCTACCGCCGGTGGACGAGGCACAGGAGGCCCGACGTGGCCACTCGGGTGCCCGGATGTTGCGGCGGTCCTTGGCAGCCTCTGCCTCCTCATCGTAACGCTCACCGTCTTCCACCAGGGGTCCATCTCGGGGCTCTTCCTCATCCTCACTCTGGTGTGGACTTGAGTGTCGAGACAAGGAGGGTGATGGTGGCACGGAGGCTGGCCGTGGGTAGCGGTACCCCTGGGCCTGCATACCCAGGCACAGGCACAAATCACAGTTTAGTGGATGCCACTGAAGGCCCCATAGGTGTCCACTTGCCCTCAAGCCCTTCTATCCCCTAAATGGACCCCCACTCCTAGCCCAGCATAGCATTGTTGCTACCAGCCCACCATTGGTCCCACATCCACTCACCGCATCTGCCTTGTGAGGTTCGTAGGTGAAATGATCTGGAAAGGCCTTGGCCAGAGCCATGTGGCGGGCAGACATATAGTACTGGGCAGAAAGGGAAAACCGTGTCAAGAGTTATAGGGCACACCCTGCTTTCTGGCAGGTATATCCCAGTCACATTTTAAATTTTATTTATTTATTTATTTTTGGGGAGGGTCTTTTTGAGACAGGGTCTCTATGTAGCCCCAGCTGCCCTGGAACTTGCTGTGTAGACGAGGCTGGCCTGTTTGGTTTTTTTTTTTTTTCCTTTTTTCTTTTAAAGCACAGTCAAACATTCCCCACCCTCACTGGGAGATTCTAGGCCAGTGCTCTACAGCTTAAGCATGTCCCCAGCCCCAGAACCCTACCACTGAGCCACAATGCTCTCCTCTCATTGGTGGATTCTAGGCAAAGGCTCTACCTCTGAGCTACAATCCCAGCATCTTTTTAAAAATATGTATTTTATTATTTTTATTTTATGTGTATGAGTGTGCTGCCTGCATGTAAGTGCACCCATGTTATGCAATGCCCATGGAGGACAGAAGAGGGAGCCAGATCACCTCAAAATGGAGTTATGAATGTTAGCTGGTATTTGAACCTGGGTCCTTTGCAAGGGCCAGTGCTCTTAACCGCTGAGTCATCTCTTCAGCCCAGGACCACACCTTTTATGCAGATGAGTACACTGGGCAAAACTTTCTCATTCTATCTCTCTATGCAAATGTTTGTATTTCAGTTTTACCTCACATCAAAAGGCAGAATTGGGAGTAAACCATTGTTGGCCAGCATGCCCAGCCTGGCCAAACCTCTTTAGGCAAGTAAGAACTCTGACCCAATGTTATTCCTAGAAATTAATTTTCTTTTTCTTTTGTACATGTATGTGTGTGTTTATGTGATTGTATGCAGGTATATATTTATGTGCAGGCACACGTGTGGAGGTCAGAGGACAAACTCAGGTGCCGTTCCTTGGGTGCTGTGCATTTTGTTTTTTTTTTGTTTAGGATTTTTTTTTCCCCAAATTTATTTATTTTTGGCCTTTTTTGAGACAGGGTCTCCCAATAGCCTCAGCTGTCCTGGAACTCACTATGTAGACCAGGCTGGCCTTGAACTCACAGAGATCTGCCTGCCTCTGACTCCCAAGGGCTGGGATTAAAGGCGCGCACCACCACACCCAGAATGGATTTATTTATTTTTGAGTGTATGCATATGTATGTGTGCTTCGAACATGCACAAGGTCAGAAGAAGGCACTGGATCTCTCAGGACTGCAGTTACACGTTTCACGCATGCTAGGCTTGTTATGTGGGTGATGGGATTCAAACTCTGGTTCTCCAGCCAGGCATTGTGGCGCATACCTGTAGTCTGGGCACTTGGGAGGCAGAGGCAGGCAGATCTCTGTGAGTTCAAGGCCAGCCTGGTCTATATAGCAAGTTCTAGGCCAGCTGGGGCTACAAGGGAGACCCTGTCTCAAAAATACCAAAAAAGGAAAAAAAAAGATCAGCTCTTCCTCACCCAGTAGTAATCAACTGTCAATAGTTCTTTGGCTAAGATTGGGGCCTGCTGTCCATTTCCAGAGTTCTGTGCTGGGATATATATTTGCATTTATATTATATGTGAGTATTTTGACTGCATGTATGTATGTGTACATGTGTACTATGTTTGTGCTTGGTGCTCACAAAGGACAGAAGAAGGGGACAGTCATGAACAACCATGTGGGTGCTGGGAATTGAACTGAGGTCCTCTGACTGTCCAGCCATCTCTCCCACGGTTTTGTTGTTGTTGTTGTTGTTTTGAGACAGGGGCTGTGTACCCCTGGCTGGCCTGGAACTCACAGAGATCCACCTGCTTCTGCCTCAAGAGAGCTTAGATTAAAGCAGTGCATCACCACGCCCAGCCCAAAGATGAATTTCTTAAAGGGACAAAACTGTTCTACATAGGAGCCCCTGGCCTGTCTCCAGCCTCTCAAGGCTGCGGAACCAGGGGCGGCCTTGGCAAGGGAAGGGGGGGTCATACCCGGCCTAGGTACTTCCAATCCAGCAGGTCCGACAGGCGCTCGGTGCGGTTCCGCTGGATGATGCGCTGCCTCCGGCTCTGCTGGCAGAAGCTGTACAGGAAGGAGGTGAGCTGCGAGCAGGAATCGTCAAGGCTGCGGAACCTCCGGTCCAGAATGTAGATGCCTGCAATGAAGGGACCAGGGCTGGGGGAAGTCTCCCCAGGACTATAACCCAGCCCCCACGCCCCAAGCTCTCGTCCCCTTTCTTCACTAACCATAAGCTGAGGGGTCTGCGATGTGCTCCTCCATGAAGCAACCAAAGCCGGAAAGGTTGGTGGAGATGCTGGGGATGCCCATGACCGTGCACTCCGCTGTGGACCAAGTGTGCAAGGGCAAGTTCAGCAGGTATCTTCTTCCCATCTCCACAGCGCCACTTGCTGGCGCCCTAGCCAAGCGGACCCTCGCAGCCCACACCCCCGGGGCTTGGAAGCACGGGCCATACCCTCCTCACTCAGAGACTCAGAAAAATGAGTTCACTTGCACCCCCAAAGTTAAGCATGTGTGAAAGGACACGGCAATCTGCGTGTATGTAAGTGCACACATGTCGGGTGTTTGTGAGCACACTGGATCTTCTGGAACAGGAGTTAAAAGACCACTGGATTGGCCGGGCGTGGTGGCACACACCTTTAGTCCCAGTACTCCGGAGGCAGAGGCAGGCGGATCTCTGTGGGTTCAAGGCCAGCCTGGTCTACATAGTGAGTTCCAGGACAGCTGTGGCTACAGGGAGACCCTGTCTCAAAAAGACCAAAGGGGGTGGGGGTGGGGAAAGAAGACCATTGGGTTGTGGGTGTGTGGGTGTGACACAGTGTACTACCTGTGTTATCATATGGCCATCGCCAGGTTAGTTGTTTTATTAGATAAGGTCTCATATAGCCCAGGCTGGCCCTGAACTCACAGATATTCTCCCATGGCTCAGGACACTGAGGCAAGAGGAAGGATATTAGTCAAACCTGGGCTACAGTGACCCCATTGCATACACTGTTTTCTAGGCATAACAGAAAAGGGCTAGAGACCCTACTGTGTAACACCAATTACTTTAAAATTTTTTTTAATGACAGAGCCTGACTATGTAGCTCAGGCTGGCCTTCAACTCACAGATATTCTCCTGCCTCTGCCTCCCACATGCTGGGAATACAGGTGTGCACCTCATTCATTACCACTTTAGTTAGAACAGCTGTGACTACTTGTTTTGTTGTTGTTGTTTGGGGGTTTTTTTGAAATAGGGTCTTCCCGTAGCCCCAGCTGCCCTGGAACTCACTATGTAGACCAGGCTGGCCTTGGACTCACAGAGATCCGCCTGCCTCTGCCTCCCGAGTGCTGGGACTACAGGCATGTGCCACCACACCCAGCAGCTATGACTACTTGTGAGCGACCCTGAAGATCGGATTGACCTGCTCTCACAGGAGTAGGGGGGGAAGGTCTTTAGACCCCTCACCTGAGACTCCTCCCTCCCAGCTGTAATCGTGACCCAGATGAATTTGGTCTCAGAAGGATCTAGAGTATAGCGTATGGAAGGTTAACTGAAGGGGGACCCATCTGTGCAACTATGGGGTGGGGTGAGACTTCTGGATGAAACAGATGCTTAGGGTCACTTGCTCTCCTGTAAATAACCCCTCACCTATGCTCTGCAGGAATGCCCAATCAATTCCAGTTGGACATTGGGGGAATCATTTCTTCTGTCTTTGGTGCCCTATTTGGGGTGAGTTTATTCAGGTCTCCCTCTCCAGGACAAGTTCATGCAACAGAGCCTGTCTTCAGAGAGAGAGAAAGATGGGGGCTGGGGAGATGACTTGGCAGTTGGAGCACAGACTGTTCTTGCAAGAGGACTGTGCCTTGATTCCCAGCACCCTCTTGGCAGCTACTAAGCATCCGTAGCTCCAGTTCCAGGGGATCTGACACCCTCTTCTGACTTCCTCTGGCATTGCATGACATGGGTACACTTACACACATGCAGGCAAAACACTCACACACATAAAATAAAAATGTTTAAAGAGAGAGGGAGAAACACAAACAGCCAGATTTGGTGGAAATGCGAGACAGAAGTAGAAAGTTCAAGGTCATCCTCATATACATAATGAGTTTGAGGTCAGTCTGGGCTACACAAGACCCTGTTTCAAAACAAAACAACATGGGCTGGAGAGATGGCTCAGCAATTAAGAGCACTGGCTGCTCTTGAAGAGGACTAGGGTTTGATTCCTAGTACCAGTTCCAAGGGATCCGATGCCCTTTTGTGACCCCATGAGAATTGCATGGCAGGTTGCATTTATGTACATGCAGACAATACACTCATATAGATAAATTTTTAATAATAATAACAAATAAAAACAACAACAACCCTCCTCATCACTCATTGTGGTGGTATGCCAGCACTCAGGACGCAGAGGCAGGTGGATCTCTGTGAGTTTGAGGCCAGACTGCTCTACACAGTGAGTTCGGAGCCAGGGTCACGTAGTGAGACTCTGCCTCAACAAACAATAAAACTCACAATCTCTTCTCAGTGAGGGGGAACTACAGATGAGTAATTTCAGCTCACCGCTCAGGAATGAAGAGAGATGAGGAGAGGTGGGATGGCACAGGGGGCACAGGAAAAAGCTCAGGTGACAGCAGGCTTGCCCAGCATGCACAGAGCCCTGGGTTCCACAGCCAGCATCACGTAAACTAGGTGTGGCGGGGCAGGTTTGCACTTTCAGCACCCAGGAGTCAGAATCAGGAGGAACCAGAAGTCCAAGGCTAGCCTTGGCTACTTAGCAAGTCTGACAGGCACTGGGGACAGATTAACCTCATCAATTATGTCAGTGAATTGAGATGTGCCTGTGTTTGGGGAGACTGAACAGCAAACTGCAGATGAGGTCATCAATAATCTCCACTTGAACTGAACAGGAGTCTTCTAGTCCTGAGTCCTTGGCCCTCTGTGTCCCAAAAATGTACACTGGGGTGCTGGAAAGATGCCCAGTGGTTAGGAGCACTGGCTGTTCTTGTAGAGGACCCAGGTTCAACTCCCAGCACCCACATGGTGGTACTCATACATCCATGAGGGAAAACACTCATACATATAAAAAATAAATAGGACCAGGGTTCGATTCCATATGGTGTGAACCATCTGTAACTCTAGTTGCAGGCAAATCTGACACCCTCTTCAGACCTCTGAGCGCACTGCCCAAGACGGGTGCACTACAAACATACAGGCAACACACCCATACAAATAAAAATAGGGCTGGGGAAATGGCTCAGGGCTTAAGAGCCCTGGCTGCTCTTAAGAGGACCTGGGTTCCAATCCCAGCACCTACATGGCAGCTAACAATCTGTAACTCCAGTTCTAGGGGAACTGATGCCCTCTTCTGATCTCCACAAGCATTTCATAACACAGGTACATTTACAGATATGCAGGCAAAACACACATAAAAAATAAAAAAAATATAAATTTTAAGGATAAAAAAAAGAAAGGTACCTGTCAGAGCTGAAAAAGAACCCAGCACCCTCCCCTCCCCAATCTCCTGCACTCACCTGGAGTATACCCCCAGGGCTCATAATAGGAGGGGAAGACCCCAAGATGACAGCCACGGACAAACTCCTCATAGTCCACGGGGAGCAGAGGGCTTGTGGAAGAGAGGAACTCTGGGTGAAAAATCACCTGTCAGTGAAAGATAATGGCTTAGCTACTTCCTAACAATGCAGAGATTGGCCTGCCTCTGCCTCCCGAGGGCTGGGATTAAAGGCATGCACCTCATTCTCAGTCAGGGTTCTTGCTAAACACAGCAGTGTCATTGGTAAACTAGAGGGACAGGGAGTGTGACACCCAGCAAGCAGCCCTCTCCTCTACCAAACCCAAACCACCACAGGCCAGCTCTGTCCTCACCTTCACCCGGTCAGCACTACTGTTAAAAAGGCCAATTCGGCGGATGGTGGTCAGGATGGGGTCTGAAGAGTCATCCAACATATTGTGGGTGCACACAGGGGGGAATGATTGACGCTGTAGAAATTACAAGTGAGGTGGAGGTCAAGGGATGGACAGAGAATTTGCCACTTCTTCATGGACCATGCTGATCCCAGAGACCCAAACAAGCCACAAATCCTGATACAAATCAACAAAGACTGATCACCTGAATCCTAGTAGGCTTTTTCCCTAAACCGCTATGAGCTTAAAGAAAAAAAAAAAAAGTACAACCCCCAGCTTTCCTTCGGGCACTCACTGCTGGTGTTAAAATACTCCATAGGTTATAAGGAAGTATATTTTGTTATATAATCTTGACTCTGTCACTAAAGAGACCCCAAGGAATTTTAAATCCCCCAGCCACGGAGCCAGTTATGCCCACATGGAACCAAAGTGAGGGCTGCTGCAAGTTGTAGTTTTCTTATGAAAATCCATACTAAACCACAGGAGGGAGCAAAAAGCCCGCGAGCCCAGGAACCGCAGCAATACGACAGAGCTAGATTGACAGGAAACCCTAGAGGTCACAAAAAGTTCTTTGCAACTGTTTCATCACCTCATTAAAACTTGTAATGATAGGCAGTTTAAAAGGATCAAAAATCTACAACTCCCAGCAGCACCAACCTAGGATATTCCTGAGGCAGTCTCCTCACATTGTCTAAAAGCACTTCCTACCTCATCAGTGCACTTCAGCTACCTAGACTCCGATTCCCCAAACTCACCAACCCCTACCTCAAGCACCAAAGTCCTTTGAAAAGCCTGGAATGAAAGAACTCCCAGAATCCTCAAGGGCAGTAAGTCAGTCAAGGTAGCGCAAAATGTCCCAGGGGCTGATGGGAGTTGTAGTTCTCGATATTGTGCTTTCTGTTTCTTAATCACTGAATTCCACTAACCTCAGAAATTAAAGAGGGCTCTGTGAGAAATAAGATACAGCCTGAGGAAGAAGAAATAGAGGCTGCTTTCTCTACGAAACACTAAGCGTCTTAGCTGATTGGCTCTACCCTCCCCCACCAAACGCCCCTAAAACTACCATACCTAGCAGCCCCTTGGGGCAGATTTGGCAGTTGCAATTCTTTGGCAAGGATCTTTACTCTCAGGGCGAGTTTCTTCAGCCACTGACAACCTAAGGAAACTACAACTCCCAGCAGCCCACATGGCAGGATGTTAACTAAAATAGCCTGCCCAACATGCTCATGGGAGCTGAAGTTTTATCAGGCAAGTCTCACCCTTCTATGAAAGAAATTCTTGGAAAGAACCACATTTGACTCTTCTGTAAGACTGATTAACTGATTAGAATTTCAGTGATTGAGATGGGTTTTAAATGTTGTGGGTCCAAAGCCTAATTACAATTTATCTTGGGAGATTATCTATCTATCTATGAGTATTATGCCTGCATGTAGGTAAGTGCACCCGTGTTCTGCAATGCCCACAGAGGACAGAAGAGGCTGTCGGATCCCCTGGAACTGGAGTTATGGACAGTTGTTAGCTGCCATGTGGGTGCTGGGATTTGAACCCGGGTCTTCTGCAAGAACAATGTTCTTAACCGCTGAGTCATCTCTCCAGCCCTAGCCATCCATCTATATTTTTAATTTATTTAAAAACATTTTTATTATTTTTATCTCGTGTGTGAGTGTATTGCCTGCATAGATGTAAGTGCATCTGTGTCATGCAATGCCTGTGGAGGTCAGAAGAGGGCATTGAATCTCCTGGAACTGGAGTTATGCATGGTTGTTTGCTGCCATGTGGGTGTTGGGATTCAAACCTGGGTCTTCTGCAAGAGTTGTCAGTGCTCTTAACTGCTGAGTCATCTCTCTGGCCCCAAAATTAATTAATTAATTAATTTGTTTTTGGTCTTTTTGAGAGAGGGTCTCCCTGTAGAACCAGCTGGCCTGGAACTCACTATGTAGACCAGGCTGGCTTTGAACACACAGAGATACACCTGTCTCTACTCTTTAAGTGCTGGGACTAAAGGCCACCACATCCAGCCCACAAATTTATTTTTCATGTAAGAGTGTTTTGCCAACATGTATGTAAGTGCACCACATGCATGTAATGCCCTTGGAGGCCAGAAGAGAATGTCAGATCCCTGGAACTGAAGTTGTGGACCTTTGTTAGCTGCCATGTTGGTGCTGGTGGACCTTTGTTAGCTGCAATGTCGGTGCTGAGAACTGAACCTGGGTCCTCCACAAGAACGTTCAGTCAGTGCTCTTAACTGCTGAGCCAATGTTGGGCTATCTTTAGTTGCCTTATTTGCCATTCCCTGCCCACCTCTGTGTCTTACCTAACACCTTGGTGAGTAACAGATAAAAACTTAGGAATGTATTAGTTTCTAGTTTCTATCAACCAAAACACTGAGTGTTCTCAGACAGCATCTGAGGCCTGTAGCAGAGATTTCCCCGCTTTGCCACAACTTTTCTACCTGATATTGACACACACACACACACACACATACACACACACACACCAGCACACTTGGTATCAATCATTTTAAACTGTAAAACCACTAACAAAAGAACATAAATCAAAAGATACAGTCCTAAATAGACCATGACCAAGTGGGACTACAGGCGTGCACCACCACGCCCTGCTCCAACAATATATTTTTAAAATGCTTTGATTTATAACTTTGTTCTACTACCATAAATACTTAATCAAACTGTTGTTACTACACTGAAACATGGAGTCTGAGGTAGCCTAAATCTATGTTCCCAGATCACAGGCACTCATATTTGGCTCCAAAATAAACTATCATGCCCTTTGAGGTGAGAGCTGTGAGGTTTTTAGGTCTTTTGGAGACAGTCTTCCCATAGCCCCAGCTGGCCTGGAACTCACTGTGTAGACCAGGCTGGCCCTGAACTCACAGAGATCAGCCTGCCTCTGCCTCTGCCTCTGGAGTGCTGGGACTAAAGGCCTGCACCACCACGCCCAGCCCCAGAGCTGTGTTTTAATGTTGATGCTTCTGTGGATCTCAAAATCACAACCTCCATAAAGGGCCATCCAAGGACACAGAACTCCCAGAAACCTCTGGGGCACGTAGCCTTGGGGACTGTTGGGAACCATCAGCTCTCCGCTCAGGGGTATGGACCATTACCTGTGTGGCAAAGATTGCTCTCTTCATCATAGTGAAATCTTCCTTGTCCAGCATCTTGTTCATGTCTGGGAGGCTACCCCTACAAGGGGGAGGGAGAGGCATGTGGGAATGGGGTGGAGGGATGGGTCAGGGTCCTGATGCTGGCAACAGAGCCTGGGCCAGAACTCACACCAGTAAGGATTCATAAAGCTTCCTCCCAAACTTCTCCTTGACTGCGTTGGCTGTGTCCCTGCAAACAGAGGACAATGTCACAAACACACCAGCCACTATGTACTGTCATGCTTTGGGGGCCACAGCCATACTGGGGTCTGGGTAGAGAAGCCTTGCCTCCAGGGATTTCTGGCTGGAAGATGGAGCTTGGCGATGCTTGAGTTCCTTGAGCTGTGTGGCTGAGGACAGGTGGCCTTTCCTCCCTGACTTCAGTGACTCATCTATCAGATGAGTATAAAAATAGAATCAACCTCAGATGCTTTCATTGAGTCAAAGAGGTCAGGAGGAAACAGGGCACACGGGGAGAGCCTTCCAGAAATGTCAGCTATTATTAGGGCTTGGATGAGTCTTGGAAGGTGTGATGCTCAGCCCTGTTTTATAAACAAGGTGAATAAGATTCTGGGAGGAATACCTTTGCACATGAGTTAGGAAAGAGCATCATTCCATGCCTCCTGAGTTACAATCCTCCCAGGGCCGTAGCCCATGTTGTCCCTGGGACATGCTGATCTCTCGATCTTTCTCTCTCCATTTTCTGAGACAGGATCTCCCCATGTAGCCCTGGCTGGCCCTGGAACTCACAAAGATCTGCCTGTGCCACCACACCTGGCATTGTTTTTGAAGCATTGTTTCATGTCTTCGAGGCTGGCCTCAAACTCACTCTATTGCTTATTACGGCCTTGACCCTGCTACCTTCACTTCCCAAGTGTTGGGATTTCAGACTGTGCTACCACACCTGGTTCATACAGGGTGGGGAACTGAACCCATGGCCTCTTGCATGCGGGGCAAGCACTTTACTAACTGAGCTACATTCCAAGCCCTTACTATTTCTCAATTAAGTATTTGCTGTTCTCAGGGCTAACAACAGTGCTGGGCACATGGTAGATATTCAAAGACTGATGGACAATGGATGACCAGGTTTCACAGAGCAGAGACAGGTTCAGTGAAGGAGCAGTGGTTCCCCTACATGCACAGGGAAAGCCATGACTGGGGGCATGAGGGGACCCCCTACTGTGTGATTAGCAGAGCCTTGATTATGTGTCATACTTGTCTAGCCAGAGTACATGCCCTGAGCAACATCACTAGGAATGGATGTAGCACCCTAATCCCGTCACAGATGGCCACAGTGAGACACACTCAGGGACACAAAAGGGTAAGGGGACCACAAGGTCCTGGCCCGGGGCTGCTAACCAGAGCTGCTTGCGCACAGCTTGACCCTTCAGGGTTTCCACATTGAAATTGTTGGTTCGAGCCGGCATGATGAAGAAGGCTACAACTGTCTGCTCACTGCCATTCACCTGGAACAAGAAACAGAGTGAGGTCAGAGCTAGAGCTATGGCGTAGCTGCTAAGGGAATTATGGGGATTCTGATCTCTTTTCTTTGAGAATACAGGAGACTGAAATCAAGGTCTCCTGCACAGGCAGGTGCTCTATTGCTGAGCCACATCTAAGCCCCTCACTGGGAGATTCTAAGCAGGGGCTCTACCACTGAGCCACATGTTGGGAGCTATTAGTATTGATATGGGGACGAGGGCAGCCACACCCCAGCCCCTCACTGGGGGATCCTAGGCAGGGGCTCTACCACTGAACCACATGTTGGGAGCTATTAGATATGGGGACGAGGGCAGCCACACCCCAGCCCCTCACTGGGGGATCCTAGGCAGGTGCTCTACTGCTGAGCCACACTTCCAGCCATCTTTTATTTTGACACAATGTCTCACTAAGTTGTGCAAGTTGACCTTGAACTCACTCTCTAGGCAAAGACTATCTCTGAATTTGTTATCCCTCCGCCTCAACCCCTGAGGTACTAGGGTTACAGACATGTGCTACCAGGCCTGACTTTAATCTTCTTTCTGGTTTCCATAACCAGCTCTGGCTCTGTTCTCCCCAGTATGTACAAATGACCACCCTCACTCTGACCCATGAACCAGGCTTACTCTGAGCAGATAGTTGAGCCGGGCCAAGGCCTCCAGGAACACATCAGCTCCTTTGTTGGAGAATTCGTAGCGGCCGGCGATAAAGAAATACAAGGTCTTATCTAAGTTAAAGTCCAGGTGCCTAAACGAGTCACATGAGAGAGTGAAGCCCATGCTTACCCTGTGGTACTTCTCTGAAAACCACAAATCCCAGAAACCACAGGTCTAAGACATTTTACACAATACAGTCATCAGAGGGACCCTGGGAGTTGTAAGATTTTCTACTGAGACCAGGCTTTACTGTGCAGTTCATAGCTCTAGATTTCAGAAGTAATGGGGCTCATGGCTGTCCCATGGCTCCCAGACCAAGGAGTCCACCCCAGCCCTCCTCCCTCAGACCTGAGGAGTCCAGACCTCAGCCCCCTCCCCCCTCAGATCCACACATCCAGGTCATCATCCTCTTCCCTAACTCCCAGGGTTCCTAAGCCTTATTCTCCTCTCTGACTCAGGGGTCAAGGTCATAACCATCTTCTTCCAGTCCCAGAGATCCTAACCCAGCCCTCTTCCCTCAGACTCATTGGTCGAGACTCTAGCTGACTCCCTCAGACCCAGGGGTCTTCACCCCCACCCTCCTCTCTTAGCTACCTGGTGCACATACCCGTAAAAATGGCCCCTCACAAACTCTTGGATCCGAGCTTTGCTCTGAGCATGGAGGTTCTGGAACTCATGCATGGCGGAGAACTTCTTTATGTTCAGGCCATTGGGGGTCACGATATCTGGGATTAGGGGAGAAGGTCCCATGTTCATTTCTTCATTCTGATCAATGCCGTTGACTGACTAAAGGAAGGGAAGACCCCTTTCATTTTTTTTTTTTCTTTTTTTGTCTTTTTGAGACAGGGTCTCCCTGTAGCCCCAGCGGTCCTGGAACTCACTATGTAGACCAGGCTGGCCTTGAACTCACAGAGATCCTCCTGCCTCTGCCTCCCATGTGCTGAGACTACAGGTATGTGCCACCATGCCTGGCTCCTTTCCTTTTATAACTTCACTGCAAGGGCCTGTGGTGACCTCGGCTCCCATGGAGACCAACTTACTCTGCGACTCGATCTCATCCTGTCCCAGGTTGCTTATTTTCATAAGCACAATCTCGGTCTCCTCAAATGGATAACGACACAGGGACCTGATACACGCCAGTGACTCTGGGAATTGTAGTTCCTTCTCCCACAATGAAATATACCACCACAGTTCCGAATCTCCCAGAATACACTCTCTTCTATTTATTTTCTTTTTAAAAATATTTTATTATTTTTGTTTTATGTGTATGAGTGTTTGGTCTGCATGTATGTGAGTGCACCTGTGTTATGCAATGCCACGGAGGTCAGAAGAGGGCGTCAGATTCCCCAGGAACTGGAGTCAAGGACGGTTCATAGCTGCCATGTGGGTGCTGGGAATTGAACCCAGGTGCTCTGCAAGAGCAGTCTGTGCTCTTAACCGCTAAGCCATCTCTCCAGCAGCCCTGGGTTGGCCTTCAACTAACAAAGCTCCTTGCCTCAGTCACCCAAGTGCTGAGATTACAGACATGCTCCATCATATCTGGCCCAGGACTCAAGCCTCTTTTAGGGACCCAAGCACTTTCTCTCCTCATACAATTATTATTATCATTTGGAGTATTAAGAATGGAACCAAGATCCCAGCACTTGGGAGGCAGAGGCAGGTGGATCTCTATGAGTTCAAGGCCAGCCTGGTCTACATAGTGAGTTCCAGGCCAGCTGGGGCTACAGGGAGACCCTGTTTCCAAAAAGATGGAACCAAAGGGCTGAAGAGATGGCTCAGTGGTTAAGCACACTGGCTGCTCTTCCAGAGGACCCAGGTTTGGTTCCCAGCATCCACATGGCAGTTAACAACCATCAATAACTCCAGTGCTAAGAGATCCAATGCCCTCTTCTGACCTCCACCGGCACTGCACCACATAGGTGCACCTATCTACATGTAAGCAATACACTCCTACACATAAAAAAATAAAAATAACGTGATGGCGCACGCCTTTAATCCCCAGCACTTGGGAGGCAGAGGCTGGCGGATCTCTGTGAGTTCAAGGCCAGCCTGGTCTACATAGTGAGTTCCAGGACAGTTTGGGGCTACAGGGAGACCCTGTCTCAAAAAGACCAAAAAAGAAAAAGAAAAAGAATAAGCCAGGCACGGCAGCACACACCTTTAGTGCCAGCACTTGGAAGGCAGAGGCAGGCGAATGTCTGTGAGTTCAAGGCCAGCCTGGTCTATCCAGTGAGTTCCAGGTCAGCTGAGGCTACGGGGAGACCCCGTCTCAAAAAGAATCGAACCAAGGGCTTCATACATGCTCGGCATGCATTCTGCCACTAAGCCACTAAGCTATATCCTCAGCTCACCCACTTCTTATGCACAGTGGGGCTAGGGAGATAGCTCAGTGGGTAAGCGTGCTTGCTGGGGAAACAGCAAACCCAAGTTCAAACTGCAATACTCAGTAAAGTTGGGTATGGCTGAGTGAGTGTGCCTGTAAGTAACCACAGCACTGGGTATGGGAAAGATAGGTGGATTCCGGGAGTAAAAGCAGCCTAAGAAAAGGGCAAGCTTCAGTTCAATGAGGTACTCTGTTTCAAAAATGAAATAAAATAAGCTGTTGGGGCTGGAGAAATGACTCAGCAGTCAAGTGCAACTTGTTCCTCTTGCAGAGCTGGAGTTCAGTTCCCAGCACCCACATGAGGTGGCTCTTAAATGTCTGTAACTCCAGCTGAAGGGGATCCAATGTTCTCTTCCGGTCTCCGTGGACACCCACGCACACATGTGCACATCCACTCACACATGGAAACACACATACATATACACATTAATGTAATATAATAAAATAAATCTTAAAAAAATAAGATGAATAGTGACACCTGACATTTCCTCTGGCCTCTGTATTCACATGCATGGGCACGCGCGCCCGCGCGCACACACACACACACACACACACACACACACACACACACCACACAGAGGAAATTACAACATGTCAATGAGAAACTATACTCCTCAGGGCTGGAGAGATGGCTCAGCAGTTAAGAGCATTGGCAGCTCTTGCAGAAGACCCAGGTTCAGTTCTCAGCACCCACATGGCACCTAACAACTGTGACTATCTCTAGTTCCAGGGGTTCTGACACCCTCTTCAGGCCTCCACGGGCATTGCTCACATATGGTACATTTACATACATGCAGACAAAACACTCATACATGTAAAAATAAATATTTTTTTAAAAATAAGGAAAAACAGCCAGGTGTGGCGGCACATGCCTTTAATCCCAGCACTCGGAAGGCAGAGACAGGAGGATCTCTGAGTTCAAGGCCAGCCTGGTCTACATAGTGAGTTCCAGGACAGCTGGGGCTACAGGGAGACCCTGTCTCAAAAAGACCCCCCAAAAAAGGAAAAACTACATTTCCTCATCAAGACCTAGGGCAACATTTTAGGAGCATGTGGGGCAGGATAAGCACAGGCCTTTTGGGAGTTGTAGTTCTCACCTAACATGGATTGAAAATGGTTAGAAGTCCAGTTCCAACCTTACCTTTTTCAAAAATAAAGTCTGCTATTCCTGTATTCCTTTTGGGAGACCAGCATAGACACCAGCCAATTACTGTATTTTTCAAATAGTGAAATTAGAACTAAAGCAAACTACAACTACCATTAGCCTCCAGAATACAAAAGAGTCAGTCAGCTTCATTTACAAGTTACCGTCTCAACCCAAAGGCCTTTGGGAGTTGTAGTTTTAGTCTCTGTAATAAAATGAAACTGACTGGGACTGAGTTTAGCAGAGTCTCTTACCTCATTCCTATGTAGGGACCGCAGCTCACACCCTACCTGGTTTCCTCTTGAGGAGGTGCTGAGCCTCTATGGCTGTGATCTGGGACACGGTAGTGAACACGTGGGCACAGTGCGCTGCTGCACGCTCCATGCAGTAGCGATGGTAGATCTGCCTCTCACCTGCCTCCTTGTCCACGTTGAACTGGGCAAGAAGGAAGGGAGGTCAGGATAAAAGGATGGAGGAGAAGACTCAGGTCTAAAATCTAGGGTCCTTGGGTAGGCTGGGACTGGCAGCTGGATCCCTGTGTCTGAGGGAAGAGGTTCTAGGCTTGGGCTCCTGGGTCTGAGGGTGGGCTGGGGAGAACTCCTGGGTCTGAGGGAAGAGGGATGGTACCTGAACTCCTGGCTCTGAGAGAGGAGGGTCTGGATTTTTGAGTATGTTGGGGTCGGTGTCCCTGGGTTTAAGGGAAGAAACTAGGGTCTGGATCCCTGAATCTGAGAGAAGAGGCTGGGGTCTGGACCCCTGGGTCTGAGGGAAGAGACTAGGGTATGGACTCCTGGGTCTGAGGGAGGAGGCTGGGGCCTGGACCTCTGGGTCTGAGGGAGGGGGCTGGGGCCTGGACCCCTGGGACCAAGGGAGGAGCCTAGGGTCTGCCCTGGGTCTTAGGGATGAGGGCTGGGGTCTGGACCCTTGAGTCTTAGGGAGAAGGGCTTGGGCCTGGATTCCTGAGTGTGAGTCTGACAGAGGAGGGTTGGGGCCTGGACCCCTGGGTCTGAGGGAGGAGGACTGGGGGCCTAGACACTTGGGAGCTCGATCCCCTGGGACTTCCCAGAGCTTTGGACTATCCCACAATACTTGCTGTCTTCCACACTAAAGCTCTCACATTCTCCAGGTTGTTGTAGAAGTCCACAGCACCAGCACACAGGTATCGGCCCAGCAATGTGGCATGGGTGGTGAAGATGGTTGCCACAGGCAGGCGCCGTGCACGGCACAGACACAGCCCAATGCCTGCCAACCATTCGTGGAAGTGGGTAACCACATGTGGCTTCTCCTCGCTCTGGGCCAGGAACTATGGGGCAACAGGTACAGGGTCACTGTGTTTCCAGAAGTCACCAAAGGAACCAGCAATCCTCAGCATGGATGGACCAGGAAGCAGGGGAGAGGTAACCACAACCACTGTGCACAGAGGCAGCAGTCCCCACAGACAACGGACTAAACCCCAAGTCAGGCCAACAAGCTTGCCTCATCCCCTCAGGTTGATGGAAAATTTTCATGTGTTTTGGCAAATCCTGGTAAGACTAAAATGTTCATGTCCCCAAATCCCCGAAACAATTTCAGAGGTCCTGCTATCTCAATCAAGGGTAGTAGTTTTTTTTTTTTTTTTTTTTAAGTGTACAGGTGTTTGACTGCATGTATGTGAGTGCACCCGTGTTATGCAATGTTGTGGAGGTCAGAAGAGGGGTTCGGATTTCCCTGGAACTGGAGTTAAGGATGGTTCGTAGCCGCCATGTGAGTGCTGGGAATCGAACCCGGGTCCTCTGTAAGAGCGGTCTGTGCTCTTAACCACCGAGCCATCTCTCCAGCCCCAAGGGTAGTTTTTTTTTTTTAATTATATATCTATATTTCTTTTTTTTTTTTTTTTAATGTGTATGAGTATATTGCCTGCATGTGTGTAAGTGCACTCATGTCCTGCAATATCCTCGGAGGTCAGAAGAGGGCATCAGAGCCCCTGGAACTAGAATTATGGATGACTGTTAGCAACCATGTGGGTGCTGGGAGTTGAACCCAGGTCCTCTGGAAGAGCAACCAGTGCTCTTAACTGCTGAGCTATCTCTCCAGCCCCCAGGTAGTAGATTTTTTATAGGCGATAAAACCAAAAAAAGGTGGGGGGGAGTGACACACAATTCCCAGAATGCTTTGCAGCTCCTATTTGTTTTAGGCCATTAAAAATTAAGTTTCCTGAAACTTTTAAATATTAAAACATGGGGCTGGAGGGATTGCTCAGTGGTTAAAGCACTGATTGCTCTTCTAGAAGACCCAGGTTCGATTCCCAACACCCACATGGGCAGCTCACAACCATCTATAACTCCAGATTCAGGAGATCCCATGCCCTCCTCTGTCCTCCACAGGCACTGCATGACACAGGTGCACTTACACATATGCAGGCAATACAGTCATACACATAAGATAAAAATCAATCAATCAAAAGTAAATAAATAAATAAATAAAATCTCAGAACATGAATAAACACCATCATTCTTGGTTCTGATATACATCAAGATCTGTAAGCACCTTTTACTGTCACAGAGAACTACAAGTCCCAGAATTCCTTGGTCAGTCCTCTACTGACAAGACTCCCTGACCCACACCCCTTGCAAATCAGAGCTGATTTATGGATTAAAGAGTCTACAATTCCCGTGATGCTCAGACAGAAGTCCACCCTTTGGTGTGGAGGGTTGGGGGATGAGGGTGGTACTCCAGGGGTGACGGGACATCGGGGGGGGTGCCTGATGGTCACTGTAGTTTCTGGTCTGGGTGGAACCTGTGATGGGTTCTGTAGTGGGGCCTACCTCACCCAGGAACCAGGTGGTGAGGAAGCCAAACAGGACTGCATCATTGGCCTCACGGTCATACCAGGGCACCCCGATGTTGCAGGTATCCCAGAGCTCGCCCTTCCAGCGCTCCAGGGCCCAGGCAGAGGCCCCCACATCCAGGAGCACCACCAGGGGCCCCCCTTCAATCAGCCAGCGTCCGAAATACACCTGTATGGGAGGTACAGAGAGGCCTCAGGACTTTTTGTCCAGGCCAGTTAGATAGATCGCCCACTATCTCTTTTCTGTCTACCATGACTTAATTCACAATATTCTTTTTTTCTTGGTCTTTTTGAGACAGGGTCTCCCTGTAGCCCCAGCTGGCCTTGAACTCACAGAGATCCACCTGCCTCTGCCTCCCAAGTGCTGGGAATAAAGGTGTATATCACCATGTCCAGCTTCACTTTTGTTTTTTTTAAAATATTTTATTTATTATTCTTATTTTATATGTATGAGTGTATTGTCTGCATGTGTGTAAGTGCACCTGTGTGGTGCAATGTCCACAGAAGTCAGAAGAAGGCATTGGATCCCCTGGAACTGGAGTTATGGATGGCTGTTAGCCACCATGTGAGTGCTGGGAATCAAATATGGGGTCCTCTGCAAGAGTAGCCGGTGCGCTCAACAGCTGAACCCTCTCTCCAGGCCCCCACTGGCCTGTTTTATAATCAGTAGCCACATGTCTAACAACATCCATCCTGTCTCTTTGTCCCAGGACTGCATTTTCCTACCCACTTCCAAGCTATTAAAATTACATGTCCTATGGGTTGGAGATGGCTCAGTGATTAAAAACACTGGCTACTCTTGCAGAAGACCTGGGTTCAAATCCCAGCACCCACATGACAGATAACAACCATCTTTAACTCCAACACCTTCTTCTATTCTCCGTGGGCATTGCATGACATGGGTGCACCTACATACATGCAGGCATAACACTCATACACATAAAATAAAATAAAAATAAATTTAAAAAAACAACTGTATGTTCCATTCAGCCACCATCATATTTCTCTGGTGGCTTTTTCCTCCTGAGTCTGTCGCTGTGGCTCTGGGCCACTGTTCTAGCTGACAGAAATGCTTAGTCTCTGCCTCAATGTGGTTTGATCTGGTCAGAGCCTCACTGGGACACCCCTCCCCCACCCAGCTGTTGTCTGCCCTTTGCTGGGGGTGGGGTCTATTCTTAGGAACAGCTGCCCTGGGGTAGGTTTGTGGCTACACTGGGGTCCCTTAGGGACATGGTTTGGCCTGACCAGACACCAGACCCCACCAGAGACACAGGCTATGAATGGACAGATCCAGTGCACCTGTCTTCCTGTCTCTGGCTTGTCGGCACCTTCTGCCTCCCTCTCATAGCCCTCTATCCATCAGTCACGTCTCTTTCAGACCTCATTGTTCTCTCCTTCTCTTTTAGTTTTTCTCTTGTGGTGCTGGGGACAGAACCTAGAGACCATGTTAGGCAAGTGGTCAAGTGCTGAGCCACACCCCAGCCCTCACTGGGGAGCCTAGGCAGGGGCTCCACTGCTGAGCCATACCCCAGCCCCTTCCCTTCTCTCTTTAGACCCTGTATCTGTTCATCTCATAGACTGTTCCCTTACTTCTCTTCTGTCCATCAATACTGCATCTTTTTCACTTCTAGTTCTGACTTTCAATATGAAGCATCTGGTACTATCTCCTTTACCTAACAGAGGTACACTCTCCAAACATGACCACATGTCCACCTCTCTTCCCAAGGCTAGCTGGTTGAAGTGATGATAATGACGGTGGTAGCAGTGGGGACATGGACGCCTGGGGCTGAGATCTCTGCTTCTTGGAGCCATCTTCTGTCTTGTCCACTCGTAGACATCTGGTACCCACCAGCCTATTTTTCACCGAATCCTACATTTATTGAAAGTCTGTTGCTCTTTCTTCCTGAGGTCTCCTGGGAAAGTGCCACCCAAGGCTGCTCATGCCCCCCCACTGTCCACCCTACCCTTTTTCCACCTGTTGCTAGCCCTCTCTTGGCAGGCTATGTCCCCTCCCTGGTCCTGAGTAGGGGCCCATGTCCCACCTTGCAGCCCTTGCTGTTCATGGAATCCAGAGTCCTCTTGAGTTCGGGGATTGGGGGTTCCAGCAGCTCTACCTGGGTCCTCACACCCTGCTCTGTGTATGGGCCAATCAGATAGTAGTTGTCGCCCCATTCATCTCCCGTCACCTTCGCCTTTGTCTGCAGCACAGTGTAGATGCCACCCACTGTGGACCCAAGCACAAGAGGATGGACCCCCACATTGGTTCATAGGTCTGGGATACGGGGTGGGGTAGGAAGTGTGTGTGTGTGTGTGTGTGTGTGTGTGTGTGTGTGTTGCTGGGCAAGGAAATTAATGCAAGCTCATAGAGGAAAGGGAAAGAGGAAAAGCAACCTGGAGGGTGGCCTTCTTGGAGCTAAGGGAGAAAGGGTGCTGGGATCAGGATGCTGCAGAGAGAAAAGCAAGCTGTCTAGTTAGACTTCTGGGTCTGGGACAGGAAAGGGTTGGGAGCCTGGGCCCCTGGATCTTAGGGAAAGAGGAGTCGGGGGGGGGTACAAGGATGGCAGACCCGGGTTCCCAAGCTTCCAGCTCTCAGGAACTGGGTTAAAATCCTCAGTCCACAGAACCATGGAGAGAATGGCTCCATTTAACTTCCCACTCTAAACTTCCTAACCCTGAGTCACAACTCTCCCATGAATCCTGCCTATGGCTCCCTCTGGGCTGAGGACACAGACACGCTGGGGTCCTGTCCCTCCTGTGACCCAGCCTTAGATCCATGAATCTGGGCCCCCAGCTTCCTCACCTCCTGGAGCCAGTGCCCTGGCAGCACACAGCACTTTGTCCACCAACTCTCATCATGTTGGGAGGCCCAGTCTATTTGTCTCCCAGGACACAGCAAATCAAACCCCTCAGACCCACACAGCCCAGCTCCTCGGGACTCCAGCCCAACTTCCTCCTAAGCCAGAAGCTCAAGGTGTTGGACACTGTCTGTCCCGTGTCCGTGTCGTCCCCCCCCCACCCCCAGTACAGGTTCCCGGCCCCTCCCATCCTTAAGGCCCAGCCCCTGACCAATTTAGGACTTCCAGTCTTTCCATTCCATTACGCATGTGTCCCAGGCCAGAGGGAGGCACCTCTTCACTTAAGAATCCATGGCTCGGGCCCTGGGATCCTTCAAAGCTAGGCATTCAAGTTCCTAACTCTGTCCCAACCTGGGACGGAAGAATTGGAGTCTCCAAGGCCCTCTCCCATCGTTGCGACCAAGTGGTCAGGTTCCCAAATGCGCCCTAAACGTTCTATGTATTCGAACTTCTAGGGGCAGTGTCTTTTCAGTCGGATCACAACGCTCCGGGACCCCAAGGAAGTTCCAGCCCACAACTCCTTACCCATCAGGTCCCAGTCTCCCGTCCCTCGCAAACCTCCTGGCAGAACCCAGAATTTTAAGTGCCCTCGCTCCTAGATCAGATCTGAAGTCTCCTTCTATCTTAAGAGTAGTCTCTTGTCCCTTCCCCCCAGGGTGTAGGACGCCTGCTCCAGCCCCTCCCCAAGGACACAGAAGTCACAGCTCCTTCCCCAGCACCCAGAGTCCCCCGTGCAGCTCCGTCCTGGTCTGAATCAGAGCTCCAGGCTGCCCCAATCCCCAACTACCCCTCTTGGTCAAAGGCCCAAACGCCTAGCGAGCTCACCCTTGTTGGCCACCTCCCAGGCCACCTCGAAAAGTACAGTGTTCTGCAGGTCGAACTCATCCTCCCAGTCCTCCAGCCCTGGAAGCGAGGACATAGAGAGACTGCGGGTCAGAGGCATGGCTGCTGAGGTCAGGGGGCTCTGAGCACTACAAGCGGGGACCGGAGAAGTCTGCAGCGAATGCACCAGGCTCGGTGACCCGCCAGGTAGCGGGTGTCCCACGGGGAGATTGCAAAGCACTAGTCTTCCTACTGCACGACCGCACCCCCGCCGCGTTAAAGGCGGACGTAGGTAGCAGGCGGCAACAGCGTCACTGAGCCCCAACGGGAGCTGCAGTGAAGCCTGGCGGCCGCCAGGAGGCAATACCCGCCCCTCTGCTCCCCGATTGGTCCGCGTCTTGGGGGCGGGGCCTTCTGCATCTTCTCATTGGTGGAGAAGAGCCAGCCGTTCCTCCCTCCAGGGAGCGCTTGGACGGGACTTGGCGTGGTGCAGCACGGTAGTGATTGGTGGAGAGAGCTGTCAATCACTAGTCGGGGCCCTTATAAGGGGAGGGAGGGCGGATAGAGAGGAAAGGAGCGTGGAGGACGTGTAGTTGCTGCAAGGGGTTGAGAATGTTGCAATTGGCCTCAGCAGGCGGGGGGCTGGGAGAAAGGAGGAGGAGCCAGAGGACGTCAGGAAACGCCCCGGGATTCCGACGCCCGCCTCCAGGTCAGCTTTCCAGGGTGGGCGGGGCCTAGTGTAGAGCCACGCCCCCAGGAGAGCGGTCTGGCTACTGTAAACCATCGAGAACCCTGGAGGACCGGGAACCTAGAGAGGCCAAAGGCTTTGCTAAAAGCACATTTCCGCTTCCGCTGAGGCATTGGCGGTTAATGAGCATCATGGCAACCGTGGTAAGTGTTGCGCGTGTGGAGGATTGAGAGTGGCCCTCTTTGTGAGTCTAGGGGAGGAGGCCTGGGAAGGACGCCTGGGTTCGAGGGAGGAGGACTGGGGAGGATGCCCGGGTCTGAGGGAGGAGGGAGGGGGAGGACGCCCGGGTCTAAGGGAAGAGGACGGGGAGAATGCTCAGGTTTGAGGGAGGAAAGGAGAGGACGCCTGGGTCTGAGGGAGGAGGGCTAGGCTGGACTCTTGGGTCTGAGAGAGGAGACTGGTGTCTTGACCTCTGGGTCTGAGGGAGAAGAAATCTGGACCTAGAGTCTGATAGAGGAGACAGATGACTATTCAAGATTCTGGTGTGATGGAGGAGGCATGTGGATGTTCAGCCCCCAGAGCATGGGATGGCAGGATCTCAGTTCTCCCCACTTCCTGTGAGAGGAACTTAATCTTCCTCTTGAGTAAGTCAGTGGCCGGTTCTGCAGTCTTTCGTCCCAGTGTCCTATGAGGCCTGTGAGATGGGCACTTGAGCCCTGAGCCCTGGGGAGAGTGCAGGTGGGGACTTGTGCCGCGTGCTTGGGAGCATGTGTCAAGCAGTAATGGGACTGTCATGAGCCCAGAGTGTGTTGGTTGGGGAGATAGGGACACACACACACACGGGCTGGGGGCTTGTGCTGCAGCCATTTTCATTTTCTAGACCCTTGTTCTGGGCACGTGTCATTGTGAATGAATGCTCGGTCATTGGTCATTATTTTAATGTTCAAATGAAGGCGTGAACCCCAGGGGACAGGGCAGACAGTGGCCTGGCATTTGCTCAGCAGACCTCTCAGTGAAGAACTTGGAGGCTGGGCTGACCTTCTGGTTGCCTTGGTTCCCATGGTGACCCCAGTGCAGGTGGAGGAAAGGCAGGGAGGGAGAGTCCGTTGCTGTTACCATGGGTAGGAAGAGGAAGATGGGGAGGTAGGAGTAAAGGGCCAGGCCTGAGGTCCTATCCTGTTAGCACTGGCCAAACAGGTGTGCTGGGAATTTATTTTTGTCCCATAGGGCATAGATGCATGGACTCTAGCCTGCGAAATTTAGGTTCAGTCAGAGCTTCCTAAGGGTGCCCTGCAGTCACTGGACATTTGTTCCATTTACACTTATTTTCCCTGGGTGTATCTGTGTGTGAGCATGCCACGGCACCTGTGCATGACAGCCAACGTGGAGTGGGTACTCTCCCTCCACCATGTGGGCCCCTGGGATTGAACTCAGGTCATTGGACTTGGAGGCAAGTGCCTTGAGCCTCTGAGCCATCTTGCTGGCCCCTAGCAGTTGCCTCACAGACTCCTGCAGAGTCCCCATCCATCAGACTTCCTCTTGGGAGGCCTCCTTGTCACCCCATCCCTTACCCCTACTGTCACCTGGGCTCCAGTCTCTGTCCAGTGGCCTCAACAGGACTTCAAAGTATGGTCCCCAGTTTGAAGGTGTCTTCAGATGTGCAGGGACCACAAGAACAGAAGTCTTGTAGAGCGCGGCACTCTCTTGCAGCCTGGTGACCAGAGCTGCAGCCTCCGAGTTTTGGGGATTGTGCACACAGAGCTCTTTACTGAAGTGAGCTGTCCCCTCCTCTAGGACATAGGAGCACTTCCCAAGCCCCACACGGGTGCCGGGTGCAGACAGAACTGGCTGAGACCCGAGGATGTCACCAGCCTGAGCATAGTGACCTTCCATTTTCTTGAAGCCATGTATCTGCCTGGTGATTTTCCTTGAAGGTTTTTTGGGTCCCTTCCCCCCATCTTGGATACTTGTCTCTGGTGGGGGTGTGGCCGGAGTGTGGCTCAGCAGGGCCCTAACTGTTGTAACTCACTGCTGATGACATCATTTACTTCCCTAGTTACCTTCGTCAATTCTCCTGCTGTGACAAAGAACCTGGTAAAAGCATCAAGGAAGCAAGGGCTACTTTTAAGGCTTAAATTGAGGGATAGAGCCCGTCACAGGCAGAGGAGGCAGCTGGTTGCGTTGTGTCCAGCCAGGAAGCAGAGTGAGGGGTGCTGGCATTCGGTTAGGGGAGGTCTTCCTACTTCAGTGAACCCAATCTAGACATTCCCTCACAGACACACCTAAAGGTTTGTTTCCATGGTAATTGTAAATCCCATCAAGTTGACAAGATTACCTGTCAGGCCTCTAATTCCAGCACTCAGGAGGCAGTCTCTGTGAGACTGAGGCCAGCCTGGTCTACATAGTGAGTTCCAGGCCAGCTGTGGCTGCAGGGAGACTCAGCAAACAAAAGGAACTGTTATGGGACAGAACCCACAGCTTCACACAGCAGGCAGGGGTTCTGCCTTGGAGCTGCACTAATTCAAAAGGGGGTTCATTAGTGGGCAGCATAGTGTGGGGGCTTGTGAAGGAACTGACCGCTGGAGAGATGGCTTAGTGGCTAAGAGCCTTGTCTGCTCTTGCAGAAGACCCAGGGTTAGTTCCTAGCACCCCCATGTGGCTGCTACCAACTGCAACTATAGTTCCAGGTGATATGATGCCCTCTTTTGGTCTCTGTGGGCATTGCACACTTGAATACACATACATACATGTAGGCAGAACACTCATTCACATGCGCTAAAATTTTTTAAAAAAATTTAAAAAGGAACTCAACTTGCAGTAAGCAATTTCTCATCAAAATCTGTCAAGAGAGTTGGGGTGGGGCAGGTTTCGTGGACCCGTATCTGTGTGTGTTTGCCTTATGAAGGGCCTGTGTGTGGGAGGTCCTGGTGTGTGGCAGGTCTGGGCCTCAGTAGTAGTCTGAGTCTCATGCCCTTGGGGTCCATCCAGCCTCCTACAAAGAGAGTCAATGGGAAGGTCACACAGCAAGACAGGCTGTGAACAGCCTCTAGATAGCCTGGAAACCCTCTGCAGGGAAGAGGCACGTTGGGGCAGCGGCCGAAAACTGCCTAGCTTCTGGCCTGAGACAGTCAAGGTTCCATGCCTGGGTTTCTCTGTCTCCTCCCACACTGTAGCTGAGGCTAGCCTCAGACTTGGAGCCGTTCTCTGGCCTCAGCCTCCCCAGTGATTACAGGTGTGGGACACCATGATCCGGTGCATTTCTTTTTATTATTAACATCTTTATTGAGATCAAATTCAGCACCTGGGAGACTGAGGCAGGAGGATACCCATGAATAAAAAGAAAACTCCAAAAACCCAAGACAAAAGAAACGCCTTGATCTCTGTGCCTCTTGCCCAGTTCCCACACCTCCCTCCCTTAGCCCTAGGCAACCACTGATCTGTTTTCTGAGTGGGGACTTTTCTCTCCTGGATCTTTCATAAAAGCAGAAATGTTGGCTGTGGTCATGATGCGTGGCCCTCAGCCTCTGAGCGCAGTACTGTCAGTCAGTGCTCCTCCAGGTGTGGTGTGGCAAGTGGCAGAACGTCATTTTTTTTTTTTTTTTTTTTTTCAGTTTAAATTTTCCATAGTCCCAGCACTCGGGAGTCAGAGGCAGGCAGATCTCTGTGAGTTCAAGGCCAGCCTGGTCTACATAGTAAGTTCCAGGCTAGCTGGGGCTACAGGGAGACCCTGTCTCAAAAAGACATATTAATTTTACTTATTTTGAAACAGGGTTTTCCTGTAGTGCTGACTTGCCTTGATCTCACAGAGGTCCACCTGCCTCTGCCTCCTGCCTGCTGGGATTAAAGGCATGCATGTCACCATGCCTAGCAGCTTCACTCCTCTTTAAGGCTAAATAATATTTCATTTATGGGTAGACCACATCCTGTTTATTCACTGGTCTGTTAGTGAACATAGGATTGTCTCCAGCTTTTTTTTTTTTTTTTTTTTTTTTAATTATAGTGCTGTTTGGTCTCTCTGTTTCTGGGGGGATTTCAGGGGACCTCAAATGTCCTAGGTGGTGTTTACTCAAGTCCCTCCTCTGTGAAAAGGGACTGCTGTCTCCTGCTTTGAAAGCACAGAGGCATAGGAGGCCCCAGTGCATACGTGTTGAATGAGCTCAGCACTCCAGAATGTCGAACCTCAAGCATGGAGTCCAAAGTGCTGGAGAGTGTACGCTATGCCCTCTGGGATATTTTACCCTGGGGACCAGAACTACTGAGTGGAGGGAGAGTTTCCCTGATGTGTTCACAGACTCACAGTTATGGGGTGGGATTGGGGTCCTTATCCACACACCAGATAATGCCAGGGCTTAAGGAGAAGAGGCACAGAGGAGCCTGCCTTCGGGGTTCTATAGTGGGGACTGTCATGCCGCCATCTGTGACAGCCCAATGGGCGAGAGTGGCTGGTGTTGGCCTGTCCCCTGCCTATAAGAGGTGGAGCAGAAAGTGGCTCCTGGGAGGATGGAGGGGAGGAGGAAAGCAGGGGCACAGACACCTCCTTACACACCTTCCTGCACCCACAGACAGCCACCACCAAAGTCCCTGAGATCCGGGATGTGACGAGGATCGAACGAATTGGTGAGTGAACAGTCAAAGCAGAGCGGGACACCACCTGCTGAATGCCTGGGAGATCTGCCCAGGCCTAGAGACAGAGATGTCCAGGGCGCCGCATCTGGGCCCCAATACTAGGTTGTGCTGCTGTTGGCTGTCCCTGTGGGCTTCCTAGAAGTTGAAAAGTACCCGAGCACTGGTGAGGTGCGTGGTCTGAAGGCTGTACCAGGCCTGCATTCCCAGTATCTCCAGCCCAGGGCCTTCGGAGTAGACCTCAGCAGACCCCGTCTGATGCAGGATGTGCATGCTGTAAGCCTCCAGGAGCCCGGAGTGCAGTGCCTCAGTGTCCTCCTATCCCCCCTGAGGTGACCAAATTTCAGAGCAGCTGAGTTAGCAGCTGCAGCTCACCCTGCAGGCCTGGGGTGCAGAGCAGGGAGCTGAGGCCCAGAGGCTGGCAGGGCATCTCCTAGGTAGGAGCCCCTCTGTGGAAGAGGCTGCACCCTCTTGTTTACCAATCACTCAGAACCTTTGAGATGAGAGAGGCGGTGGGCTGCGAGTGTGGGCTGATGCTTGACTCTGAGCCCCAGAGACCAGGCTCTTGGCTCTCTGTGCCTGTGTCCTCACCTGTAAAGTGGAGCTAAGACAGTTCACCCTTGTGAACATCAGATTCACTGAGAGACTCTTAGCCAGGCATGGTGGTGCACCTGACATCCTGCACTGAGGCTGAGGCAGGAACAGCAAAGGTTCCCAGCAGCCTGGGCAATTTGGTGAGACCCTGTCTGCTGACTGAGCATGAGTCATCACTTTCCCCTTTTAAATATTTTATTATTTTTTTATTTTATGTGTATAAGTGTATTGCCTGCATGTAAGTGAGTGCACCCATGTTGTGCAATGCCACGGAGGTCAGAAGAGGGCTTCAGATTCCTCTGGAACTGGAGTTAAGAACAGTTCACAGCTGCAGTGTGGGTGCTGGGAATCGAACCCAGGTCCTCTACAAGAGGCAGTCAGTGCTCTTAACTGCTGAGCGATCTCTCCAGCCCCTGCTTCCCCTTTTAAAGGCCTAAGTCCTGCTAGAGGTAAGGTCCCGGTAGAGTCCAGCTGCCCTGGGGTGCTGTCTATCAAAATCTTATACCTGTTAGGCAAGCACTCTATCCCTGAGCTATGGCCCCAGATCTTTTAGTGTTTTCTTTTTTTTTTTTTTTTGGTGCTTTTTGAGACAGGGTCTCCCTGCAGCCCCAGCTGGCCTGGAACTTGCTATGTAGAACAGGCTGACCTCGAACTCACAGAGATCCACCTGCCTCTGCCTCCCAAGTGCTGGCATCAAAGGCGTGCGCCACCATGCCCAGCCTGGTGTTTTTCTTTTTGAGGCAGACTTTCCATAAGTTGTCCGGGCTGACCTTGAACTCACTATGTAGCCAAGGATGATCTTTAACTCCTAATCCTCCTGCCTCCACCTGGAAAGTGCTGGGATTATAAGGCCATGCCTGAGTGATAAATTCTGCTTTATTGAAATTAAATGTTTTTCAGTGCACGTTTGGAGCTCAAGGCCTCATATTGTCCCCAGGCTACAGCCCCAACCCTTGTTAAGTCTCATCTCTACCAAAAGTGATTGATGCCATTTGCTGCCATGAGTGTGGCTGTGCCCCCCATGAGCTTTATACAGAGCAGGGGGCTGGCCTGCAGGCCTTGTGTGCCCAGCCCTGGTCTGGGTCAAACGCTGGGATCCTACCCTCACTGTTCCCTGGCTGGGTGGGCTGTGCATGGACCCTGACCTCTGCACTCCCTCCCCAGTCCTTGGATGGTGGCTTGGGTCCCAGCTTGTCAGGGAGGTGTGAAATGAAAGTCTCTGAGTGCCGAGTGCTGGACCCTCAGTGCAGTATGGTCACTGGCCCTCACTGTTAGTTCTTGGGCTCAGTACCTGGTGAGCTCATTACTGCGCTGTTCTCAGCCATCTTCCCTGAGCTCTGAGGAGACCCCTTGGCTCAGGCCATACTATGTTGCCTTGACCTAGCTAGTAACTCAGCATTCTTTCCACACAGGGGCTCACTCCCACATCCGGGGGCTGGGGCTAGATGATGCCTTGGAGCCACGACAGGTACAGCCATGGGGCGCAGGCTGGGACTGGGACTAGGGCTAGGAAATGGGAGCAGGGGAGGGGGAGTTATGCACATCTTTAATCCCAGCACTCCATCTCTGAGTTCGAGGCCAGCCTGGTCTACATAGCAAGTGCCAGGGCTACATAGTAAGAACCTGTGGAGAGAGAGAGGAGGGAAGGGGAGAAAGGGGAGCAGAGGAAAGTGTTGGTTTTTGTCAGAAGGCTCATCTAGGGTATGACCTTAGAGAAAGTCACCTCTGGTGCTGCTCACCTCCCACCCTCCACCCCCCAGGCTTCCCAGGGCATGGTGGGGCAGCTGGCTGCCCGGCGTGCAGCTGGTGTGGTACTGGAAATGATCCGAGAAGGGAAGATTGCGGGGCGGGCCGTCCTCATCGCCGGCCAGCCAGGCACTGGGAAGACAGCCATCGCCATGGGTAAGAGGCCTCACGGGGCAGGTGTGCTCATCTCTGCAGGCCAGGGCCTCCGTTTACCACACAGCCCCAATGGCCGTGGTTGAGTCAGTCTCTCCCATAGATGTCTCTGGGAGAGGCTGTCCATGACCCCCAAGCAGTTTGTGGCATCCTGACACAGCCTCAACCTTCTCCGCACTTGCTCATATGTCGGGGTTACGGTTACCTTGTGTTCTGAGGAGGCTGCGTAAGCACCAGCCTTCCCCTGTACCAGGCAGCAGGAAGAGGGAACTGCGGTCAAAGTGTGCCCCTCAGCATCACTCCCTCCCGGCAGCCGTCGGGGAAGGCCACATGCAGACCACACTCAGACCACACACTTCAATTCTCACACAGCCACATAGTGCTGCGAAGGAGGCCAAGACCTTAAAGGTGTTGTTTTAGTTTAAGTTTTTAATTTGGATCTTTACTGCTTTAATGAAATGAGGGTTCTGGAAGTAAGGGAGAGTGGACATTGAGTAGATAGCTAGCCCGTCTGCTGCAGTCTATTAGTGACTTAAGACCATGACTGCCTCTTCCTGGTTGAAGTACTGTCTAGCCTTCAAAACTCTCCTCAGGCATTGCTGCCCCTGAGACTGTCCTGACCCACCTTCCTTCTCCCTCCCACCCCTACTGAGACTGTGGAGCCAGGCTGGGGAGTCAGGTCCATAGGAATCAGTTCTGAAGCAGCACGAACCTTGGGGAGGTGGTGTGGTTTGAGATGGAAGAGCACAGGACATGAGGGCTTCTGACCATTCGGGTGGGGGTTGGTGGCTGGGATGGCTTTGAGGGTGCCAGGAAACCTGGACCACTGCTGTGTCGTGTCAGGGCACCAGGGGCCATCAGCCACACCTGCCTGACCTCCTCTCCCGCAGGCATGGCTCAGGCACTAGGCCCCGACACACCCTTCACAGCCATCGCGGGCAGCGAGATCTTTTCCCTGGAGATGAGCAAGACCGAAGCCCTGACACAAGCTTTCCGGCGCTCCATCGGTGTCCGCATCAAGTGAGTGTGCTGTAGGCTCTGCCACCCTGCTTGCCACAGTCCTGGGCCTGGAGCCAGTCTGACCTAGGCTCTGTCCTCTGTCCCGCTAGGGAGGAGACGGAGATCATTGAAGGTGAGGTGGTGGAGATCCAGATTGACCGACCAGCCACGGGCACAGTGAGTCTGTGAGGTGCCCAGTGCCCGACTCTTACATCCCCCAGACTCCCAGCCAGCCACCTCCAGCTGCAGGGCTGAGGGTGGCACATTGGGACCTGTCCATGTGCCTGGGTGGGATAGGTCAGGTGAGTGGCCCGGTCTGTGCATTAGCCAGGGGCACAGCACTACTGTGGAGAGGTGAGAGGTTGGAAGTTTCAGCTTGTTCCTACCAGTGAGGCTTGGAAACCTGTTAGCTGAGCGTGGTGGCTCATCTTGTCATCCCAGCCTGGGCTACAAAGTTAGATCAAGACAGCCTAGACTGTCTTGCATAAAACAGGCGTTGGTGGTACTTGCCTGTACTCCCAGGAGGGAGATGGAGGCAGGAGGATCAAGAGTTCAAGGTCCTCCACTACATAGTGAGTTTGAAGGCAGCCTGGGCTACATGACACCTTGTCTCAAAACCAAGATGACCCTGCTCTGAGGACTAGGTAGCTGGTGCCTTCAGCTGTTCCTGATGCAAAGCTTCTTGTACAATAAGACAGTTCCACTGGAGCTGTGCATAGGGCAGTCTGATAAATGACTATACAGCAGATGTGCTCATAACCACCCCTCCCCTAAGCCCCTTCTTCTGTCTTGTCACCCTGAGGACAGCCAGGTCCTAACTTCCTGCCATTGTGATCCACTTCCGTCACCCAGTGTCACCCAGCAGGGATTTGTTCTGCTTGGCCAGGGATTTTGCTTTCTTTTTGTCATGCCAGGTTTGAACTCAAGGCCCCGTGCTCACTAGGCAGCTGCCTGGTCTTTGTATTTTCTGCCGTTAAAATCTAGTAGCAGCCAGTGAGATAGCTCAGCGAGCAGAGGCACATCCTGCCAAGCATGACAGCGTGAGTGGAATCTCCAGAACCAACTTCCACACATGCACTGACATATGCACATGAGAGAGAGCCAGCTTCCACACACTCTGGCATGTGTACATGGACCTGCCACACACAAATAGATAAAGCTAAAAAAATATGTAATGGGACTAGAGAGCTGGCTCAGTGGTTAAGAACACCTGCTGCTCTTGCAGAGGACCTGGGTTCAGTTCCCAGAATCTGTATGGTAGCTAACCATCTGCAATTCCAGTTCCAGGGGATCTGATTCTGACTTTTGCAAGAATTTGCATGACATGGGTGCACTTACTTACATGCAGGCAATACACTTAATACACATAAAATAAAAACAATAAATTCAAATAAAAAATAACTCTTTAATTAAAAAAATAGATAGCTGGGTAAGGTGGTGCACTTGGGAGGCAGAAACAGGCAGACCTCTGTAAGGTCAAGGCCAGCCTGGTCTACATAGCAAGTTCTGGGCTAGCTGGGGCTACAGGAGACCCTCTCTCCTAAAGAAAAAGGAAGGGGGAGGGAAGGAAGGAAGGAAGGTAGGTAGGTAGGTAGGTAGGTAGTTAGTTAGTTAGTTAGTTGCAGAGTGCAACATATCTCCAGCTCTTGAAACTTTTCTGTTTCTGGGTGGAACCCAGGGCCTATGTGCACCAGATGCATGCTCCACAGCAAGTAGTTGGGGGACAGTGCTTTAAGTGTTGAGCAGTTACCACCCCTGTCTAGTTCTGGAACTTACCATTACTCCATGAAGAGATGGTACCTACTGTGCCAGCACTCCCCACTCTCCCCACCCAGCTATGTTGATCTGCTTCCCACCTCTGGAGCAGGGACACAGTCCCGACCAAGGCTGTTTGCTAAGTTCTCCCCTTTCAGCTGCTCCTGAAATGCTTATGGAAAAAGTTGCTTTAAGTCCCTTGAGCCAAGACACCCCTGTCACCTTCTGTTTCTGTGTAGACCAAGCTGGCCTTGAACCCACCAAGTACTGGGGTTAAGGGCGTGGGCCACCATGCCCGGCCCTGTGCACGTGTGCAAGTACCTGTATGTGTGCGGAGGCCAGAAGAGGGCGCTGCATGTCCTGCTCTGTCACTCCCAGGGTTTCTCACTGAATCTGTACTAGACTGGCGGCAAGCGAACCCTGGCAGTCCTCCCTCCATCCCCAACAGCACTGGCGTTACAGCCCTGCCTGTGGCCATGCCTGGCTTCTTTTTTTTAATGTGGGTACTGGGATTCAGAGTCGGTACTCTTTTT